CCAGCCTCCCGTGTGTCCTGCTGCACATGCCAGCCTCCCGTGTGTCCTGCTGCACATCCCAGCCTCCCAATGCTCCTCTGCAGCACTGTGGTGTGCTAATGCCATAAGCTGGAAATGTGCCATCTCCCGCAGCCAGTGCTTGTGCCAGGCAGTTTCTCTTGGATTTTTTCTGGAAATTTTGAAGCTGCTGATGAACAGTGTGGTCTGGCCATTTGGATGATCTCCTGCCAAAAGTAAATTGTCTCCCATTGTCAGTGTGTTTGTCCACTGAACTCAAACAGCCCTTGCTCTGCTGAGGGTGGATTTCAGCTGTGTGGATGTTGTGCCTACAGTACCTGACACGGACTCTGTTCTTCTGGGGCAGAACTAACAGCTTCCTCATTTTTGCTGGGTGCCCATAGATGGTGTAGAATGGGGAGTTCCTGTTGGTTGGAGCCCAGTGGTGGATCATCCACCTTCATCCAGGGTGACAGCGGCCTCTAGTGCCACCAAAAGCTTCTTACCCAAGTTATCTGCATCCTTGTCTGTGCAGGTTCAGTGCAGGGCTCTGGTCACGGCTTCTCCCGGCAGTCCTGCACTGCAGCCCCCACCAGAGTATTCCTGCTGTCACAGGGCTGGGCTGCTCAGAGCTCTGTCCCCTGGGCTTAGAAAGGAGCTGCAGGAGATTCTGCCATGCTAGAATGTCATTTGATCCATGAGATATTTGTACTGGAAAGAAAGTCTGGGAGATCTGGCTGAAGCTTTTCATACTCTTCTTATAGAAGTTTTACTTCCCAGAACAGCTGGAAATGTGACTGTGCAGCTCACAGCTGGTACGTGGGGTGAGACATGCTTTGCCTGAGAACTTCCGAAAGGCAAGTCTGTGCTCTCAGTTATGTGGCCAGTTTAAAAGGACTCTTGAATTTGAAATCTCTCCTGGTTTGCCAAGAATTGGGATTTTTTTTTTTACACACACCCCCCCCCCCCCCCCCCCCCCCTTTTTTTATACAACTATACAACTGAATTCTGCCATTGTGTGTGTCCTTCCTGTTCTTCAGGAAGGTTACAGCAGGATGGTTCTAGCACTTGCCATCATACATGCTCTCAGAGACAGGAAACTCATCTCTCTCCTTACTTTTTAATTTATTCTGACCAGTTTGTCATATAACTGCTCAGTCCCTGGAGGTGTCCAAGGCCAGGCTGGACAGGGCTTGAAACAGCCTCGTCTAGTGGAAGGTGCCCCTGCCCTTAGCAGGGGTTGGAACTAGATAAGCTTTAAGGTCCCTTCCAAACCAAACCATTCCATGATTCCATGACAAATCCAGAGTAGGAGTGAGGTGGACTTGTTTTCTGGTTGCTTTGGAGTTGGTGGCTCTGCTCAGCCCATGCCTTCTTGCCCTCTAAAGTCTCCCCTAGAAATATTTTTCAGCTGAAGGAAATTCACTGACATGCCAGGTAACTGTGTTTGACATACACTTCTGTTTCCTGCTTCATTCCCAAGAGGAATTTATTTTTCATTCTAAGGTTCCAGCTGCTAATGATAGTAGCATATATTATTAATATATTATTAACTGAATCCTCCTCCACCAGTACTATTAGATGAACAATTTTTGGCAAGTCCTTTTACATCGTGGTTCTTGTCCTGTGGACATTCTGAGTGTATCTCCTCTAGGAAGAGCATAGATGTGTCACCTGATACGTCCCTTAACCCTCATGATCTGACAAATTGAATAAAGGACCCTGATCTCTGTGAAAGTTAAACTATAAGATTTGCATTCAAGGAGTATTTAAAGGTTGCTTGAGAGGAACTGGCAGAAAGGGCTGTGAGCAATAGCTCACTGCTGCCATATTTGTAATAGCATTTGACTCTAGAATCCTTATCATTGACTGATGTAAAGCTGAGTGGTCTTAAGCTCCTGGGAAAGGTCTCTGGGGAAGCAGAGTGGTGGGATGCTCATGCAAGGAGCTACTACAAGGCAAGGGAAG